TGATCTTTATATGTTCGCGCTTTTACAGACACGGAACGCATCTATTCGGAAGTGACACAGGACATAGCATCGCCGTACGGTGAGTTCGTACGCGCATACCATATTTTTCGTGTCATTTTCAATTTCCGTCATACATGTATACATTCGTGCGCTCGAGTAAAAGTAGTTTACTAAAGTAATCAACATACAGCAAATTATGGTCGAAACAGTTTGAGTAGTGATTAAAATGTCTTGTGCAAGTGTAGACAGTAAGGTCGTTAGTCGGGAAAATGACTATCGAGGACTCAAATAGCTATGTTGGGTACCATGTATTGCATATATGACATAAAAGAAACGTGTGTTTTGTTGCCATTTTGTTTGTTTGAATATCCAGTGCGTGGCGCATTAGTACATGCAACTTGTTAATCGTCTAATTGCTCAATACGTCAGATCAATGCTGACCAATGCTCAGGTTTCTTAAAGTCTTGTATATTTGGTGATGTAAGTAGGCCTGATAATTGTTCAATATTTGAACGTCACCGCAAGTAAATCTCTAGATGTTTCGATGTCTGTGATGGTATTTGAGCATATTGCAAGCATGTCCAGCATATATTCAAAACCCATATATGTATACGTGTGTATTCGATGCAAATATAGTTGACATTTCTAGATAATAGCTGGCAGTGCCACAGTCACGAGCTTCTTTAATGATAGATTGGCAGTGCCACAGTCACGATCTTCTTTAATGATAGATCTAAAGCACCTGTATCACCCTTCTCATCACACAATTGCATTGTTTACGGGATATAATAAGCATACACAAGGTATTCGCTTCGAAAGAGAAAGAGCTCAACTATCAAGAAACACAAATTACATGTTCGCTGATACTCCGTTTGTGTGGGTTCCTTTCTTGTACAGGTAAACAGTACACCTGGGAAATCAAACAGAAGGTTATGGGACTACCGGTATGCATATGTAAGGACCAAAGTTTGATGAAGAACTCTGTTTGGCTTCCGCTATATTATCATTATATGCCTGTTCTGTTTGATGGATAAGAAGCGATACACAGGTATATCGATATCTCAAACCATCTCCATGTACATGTAATGGTCATAAATCGGCGTCTCTGCTTGCACTTGTTTCCAACGAAGACACATACAGAATATCTGGTCATCATCTGGTCGCCCTGTAATTAGAGTTATTTCAAAGACTTGAAATCCCCACATGCCTCACTAGTTATGTGATCGAATAGGTATAGCTCTGATTACTATTTATATTTTTCGCCCACATGATCAAACATTTACATGCGTACTCGCATACGGTTGTATATACTTGGATGCTCAATCAAACGTCGGTTCGATCCACGTGGGGTATACTGTATAGTTACTAAATTGACGCTTCCGATATAGGTATGCTATCTTGTATGTAGCAAGTACACTGTGCACACCAATTTGTCTGATTCAGGTAGAACATGTAGCTTAGAGATTTGGAAATCCACGCGAAAACGCTCATGATGTAACTCGCTATATTCAAACAATGCAAATTAACAGTTCATGCCATTGTATATCTGAGTTCAGGTATATTGTTCCTGTTTACAGTTGTATTTTACCTATATAGTTATATTGTGCCTGTGTACAGTTATATTGTACCTGTGTACAGTTATATTGTACCTGTATACAGTTATATTCTACCTGTATATAGGTACACTATACCCGTATAAAGTTACGTCGTTTCTACCGGGTTTAATACGTGCGCTGAACTATCGACGTTGTAATTTCAGGGTGCGAAAGCCGCTGAGATCATCGTGAGTGAATTGGAGTTGCCGATTTCTCCGTCAGTATACCTGGAGCGAAGAGAGAAAAGTACGTTTGGCTATTGTGTTGTTGGTAAAGACTATTGATCTGTACTCAAGTTGTATCCATTAGTGTGCGCCTTGTATACGCATTTGCGTGCACAGTGCTCGGAGATGAGTTTCTACGCTGGCTTGGCTGTGTCGGTGGTATATTATGGTTGCACCCGGTCCAGCCCTTTGAACTGGACTTATCAATTTAATTGCGGCATATAATACCAAACATAATCAGATAGCACAATCCATCCAATCATATCAATCTCTCCTGCGCGATATTCTGCTCGAGAGTGCATGCGTGACCAGCACTCGGACATGCACCTAATACCAACCAGCATAGCAGCCGGCTATTCCAGCTATTCCGCCTACTACCTTATTTGTTTGCTTGTTTGGCTTACTTTAGATTGCTCTGTACAAGAAGAAAGATCGAGATGAGTTATTTACCGATGTGTGGATGTGTATCGTATCATGATTCGTTCACGCTAGCTTTTCAGACATTTCAATTGAGAGGTACCTGGTATTGTCACAGCATATGTGTATTTAAATGCACATGCTCGCAAAAAAAATTTATTTGGGTTCACCAGTTGGTATTTTCCCGTCAGCAAATATCGCCTCCGAAGCACACCTCCTGAAACCCCCGTGTCAAAAGCACCTTAAGAATCGGCCTGATATGAGGCGTCTCCAGCATGTCATCGGTCTGCATAGGATAGTTCATAAATAAACATGCGTAGTTTCATCGTAGTTTCGTATTGCCCCATGAAGTCATATATATCGTTTGCTTATCACTCTCCCACACTTCTCGAGGACTGACCTTCTGGGTGCTGTAGTACTAGACCCATCCTGACTCAACAAACTGCAGTCGGGCCCTTCCAAGTTGACTTCAGACTGACATGTGCACCAATGCATCGGCATACTCCACAGTGCAGCTGGAGCGATTCGCCGATTGCAACAAACTTCCAGGAGTCGACCGATTCATCAAACACCTCCATTCCCACAACGTGCCCATCTGTATAGCTACGAGCTCTGGGTATATGTACATATATACATATGTGTATATATACGTGTATGTCCACCACTTAAATAACATCCATATCTGCATAGCAACGATCTCTGGGTGTGTATATACATATATTGAACACTTTAGCATTGTTGCGGGTACATTGCCATTACTGTCTGTGATGTCACTTACAGTGAGATGCAATTTGTATGTAGTTCTGTATTACTGCTCGTTTGAGTACCGATTTTAGTCTACTGGCTGGATTCAGTCGTTCGCTCATCGCTGTCTTCTGCATCATATCATGTGCATAAAGATATTGCGTACCAGACTATATGGTTAGGTAAAAGTTTGTAGTCTTTTTGAAACAGATTGAGTGCTTAGTGATTGCAAGCTCGCATGTGTAGGTACGCACCACGTTCAGTACTGATTTCAGCCTACAAACAGAATACACCTAGTTGTGATTGAACACTGTTTGCGCAGTACGAGAAAACGGTCTATTATCGATCATATTGTATTGATGATATATCTGAATAAGCCATATACGCGTTCGTTTCGACACAGGTCGCCACAGTTTGCCGTTAAAACCACTCGACACGGGGACATGGTCGAGTTGATGCACCACGTAGTCAAGGTGAGCTTATTTCGACACCTGAGAACATATCAACCACTGCCTGCACACTTAGCGCACATAATGGGATCACCTTCACACCTGAGATTGTACCGTGTGTCACCTTAGGAGTTCGTATATCATATTAGTTTAACTATGTTTCGCTTACCCTTTTGTGCGAGCGCTTGAGACCTCAAACATGTTTAATTCGTTTATACCATCGGGCGCAGTGCCTTGGTTGTATGCATTGTAAGTCCCACAGCCAGCCCATCCCACTCATATCACCGACTGTTGCGCATGGGAAGGAGTGGATTGTGTGTAAACAATCTAACCTTTATCGCGTAGCCGTACACTGTCTGTTTTTTCACTACTCAAGCGTTGCTCCTATATCAAGTCATGCTCTTGTGAGTCTGACCATAATCGATGTTATTTAATCGTAGTCAGGTTTGGAACCTTTGATCACACACCACCTCAGATCTACTCCAGTACAAGATGTATTTGGCTATCGTATAGGCATCGGTGTGAAGTACATATAATCAACCGCTGGTTTTCATTATCACCACTAAGGTGTGCGTGGCACACACATCCATAAGAACGGTACGCACATATACATGTGTATTAGCACTGTTCGAAGTAGTGCTAGCTCTCCTGTGCGCTGTTTTTGCTGGTTTCAATCAGCACATTAAAAACAATTTGGTTTGGAATCAAACTGAAATGTCTTCTCACCTTTGATTCTCCAGGGGGATGACCCCGAAGTGAAGAATGGGAAACCCAATCCCGATATTTTCCAGGTAAGGAAAATGTTGATCGAAAAGTCGTGTAGTTTTATACTGCGTGAAACGGAGCATTCACTTATATATATTTCAAGAACTTAGCTCGACATATAGCTATTGACATATATCCATATCCAAAGGAATTTTCTCAGTGCAATCCATGTTTACATCTAAGTCCTCTTTTCCCAAGTATACGAAAGTTTGTGTATGGCATCTAATTTATAATGACCACATCTGCAGGTGGCTGCAAGTCGCTTCGTCACACCGGCACAATCGCCCTCAAACTGTTTGGTATTCGAAGACTCTAAAGCGGGTGTACAGGCTGCCTTGGCTGCCAATATGCATGTGGGTACGTATTCAACCATATGTATGTCCTAGTTTGTAGATGAATATACACTCATATCTGTGCCCTATGTAGAGGTGTTTGTGTGTTTGTGTGCATTTCTGTTTGTGTGTTTTAGAGTGTGTATGAGTCCGCCCGGTGTCCGCACCGGTACACACGTGTGATGTACTGTGCTGATTTTTTTGCAATAGCCCGCCTATATACATATTCATCTTACGCCGCTTCTGTTTAGTGGAAGTTTTCATTAACTGTTTCCTAATAATATGTAAGTGAGCTGACGATAGGCGATACCTTAACCCCAGACACAGTGCTGGGTAATTCAAAAGGATTACTTGATGATATCATATTACTTGCAAATGTGTACTCGTATTCTCTCGGTATATAATCCTGCTCTAGTGCACTGTCGTATGCATTCTGTGAAAAAAATATTGATTCAAGGCATTTATTTGTGGCACGCAAATTGAGCTGAGCGAAGGTTGTGGTTACAGGGGAAAGTCATTTGTATCAACGCCGGGAATCTTATCCGAATGAACAGTTATTCCACACTCTCCCTTAGTATGTTATTTCAAACTACACACGTACTAGTATATCCATACCTGAGCACACTACTGCGGAGAGTTTATGATGGCCATCTGCCACGTGACGTCTGACAACAAGTCTGACACTCCATGCATTTGTCCCATTCCATTTGATTCTCAGTCTGGATTCCGGACACACGGGCGGACAGGAAAGGTACCGAAGAGTCGACATTGATAACTTTATCCTCCATGGAGCAATTTCAACCAGAATTGTACGGGTTGCCGCCATACGACGTGTAGATGGCATAGTGATCGCGAATTAATCGCCAAAGTAGTACCTAGCATCGAATAGAGATAAATAGATAAGGTCTTGGATCGATTGAACTTCACTTTCCATGGAGAGGAACACAATAATAATTAAATATGCTAGCTGTGTGAATCTTCGAAGATCTCGTACATCCACCCCTGGCGGAGCAATATGACCTTTGAAGTCGGCATTACATTGTAAGGAACATCAGAGTGCTTTAAGGATTAGACTGATTTGAATGACAAGACATGCATACCCAAGGCAGATGATACTGATAGTCATCTTCGTTCCACCCCCTAACTTATCAGATCATGAAGTACCTAAATCCGATATCATCACAGGATCTTCTGTGTCAATGTAACTTTTTAGCCTGGATGATAGCACGCGAGCATCGGTGACATAACCCATGCCGTTGTCCCATGTAAGGAAACAGATCAGAAAGATTTGGCCAGAGATGTGCGGTATTTGGAAGCATTCACACTCGAATATTCTATCTGGTGATTGATCTCATGGTGAAACAACGATGGGAGACTAAAGTTTGAATTTGGCTTTGAAATATGCGGTACCTTTCCTAAAAGATGATGTGTATTACCTTGGTGATGCAAACAGATTCTGTCGTGTGTATATGCTTTCTCAGACGATACTTAGGGCGATGCCACTCACGATTTAAAATAGTGAGCTGGGGAATGAATAGCAGTGTTTGTACGCACACCTTTAAGTTATATGTGGAAAACACACCAATTCCAGTTTTTGCACCCGCACGAATAGTACGTCAACATATCGCATCGTTTTATAAAAGCGATACAATTTTATCACAGTGATATATCTGTTGATATACGTTTTCGGCAATATTTGTATTCAATAACACCCTTCACCAGCTCACCCGGATATTGTATTCACGTAAATAGATAGCCATAAGGTCTCGAGCTTTGCGAATTTCGATCTTAATCGTGAAGCCGCGGAACGCAATATACGGGCCGTCTTGTACAGCATTGTTGCAGCTTTATACAGCGCAGAAGTTAACCACAAACATTAAAGGTAAAGTATTGATTATTGATTGACCATTGGTAAAGAAACAGAGAAAGTTCATTAGACACCTTTTCGAAGGATAACGCACAGAAGGGGGCCAGGGCATAGGAGACCATTTCGTTCCTAGCACATGGTCCTAACGTAACTTAGTCCACACAATGTATTCAGTCAAGGCGCGTATCTATCTCGCAGACTAGTCCACACAACGTGTATAGACGCATAACACTGCATAGCGCAACATCTCACCAAATCGCACCATTCCCTATGATACACGACAAGTGTAGTACAAGCTGAGACGAGAAGAAAGTTTGCCACGGCGCCGCACTCACTCGAGTTGTGTTCCTCAGAACGATGCACAAGGACTGGTTCATTGCCCCCTCGACGAATAGCTGTGGTCTGAACTTACTTGGTATTGGGTATTATAGTTTAAAAAAACAATTGGGGGTATACAAACAAGTCAAATTAATGGGATTGCCCATTCTTTTATTCCAAACAACAACAAACATATGCACCACAGTGACACCCAAACACTCGTATTGACTTAATCAGTAAATGATTTCTGAATACCCAGCAACATATATGAATGGGCACATATATCAAGATTTAAGTGCTAGGTGTTGTACTTATTTATTTTTTAGGAGGCTTGTCATCCGAAGGTTCAGACACTACCCCGACTTTACTCGCACGCAACACGCGGTCATTCCACGTGTACCCTTCCAGCACAACTGAGCCCACACTACCGACTTCCAATTTCTGCCAATATAAAAATGGGATAAATTACGTCAGGATATTGAGATACAAAAATAGGATTTCTAGTCTCCAATTAATGTCAATATAAGTGTAAGATTGAGGTGATGTTATCACTCGGACTTTCTCTCTGCAGACCGAATGCACCCGATTCAAATTATTAAATGCGCAGGTATGTGTACCTACGCGCACACGTCATTGTGTACTCGCCAGCGATAATTGCACAAACACACCTCAGTGACACTACCATACAGACACAAATCACCTGTATGTTTTGTCTTCGACGTTGACCATAGAGAAAATATAATTATAATATGAGCTATAAACTGTAATATGCAGGCTATTACATGCATTATATTTTAATGTGGTCACACATACCTTATCCGCATATTGGAATACCGCCTCGTGCAAGTTGGGATCGAACTTTGTGCCCAGGGCTGGTATTTGCTGTATGTTATGCTTATGCAGCGCATCTAACAGGCCTGTACGCGTCATCTGCACCCCCTTTAAGAGTGACTGTACACACAAGTGAAAGGTTTCGTGTTAACCAACATTGTCAAGATATCTTTGAGTTTTTTTTTCTCATTTGAAGAATTATATGTGCACTGCGGCCAATAACATGTTAAAAATGTGAAGACATGCGTGTAGATGACTACAAAAAGGATGCGCTGAGATCGAATAAATGTGCGACGATGTAAGATCTTGATGGTGATCGGTCCCACAAGCTAAAAATATTAGGATTAATCAGCACTGTATGTGGCAAACGCTACACTGGATCCAGGTAAGCACAGGACAGAAGTAGCCACAAAACCCACTCGAGACGATTATAAACGCAAATTGCAGAGCTTCGAGTCCTTGTTTCACTGTGTATAATTAAGCTGTCGGAACATGGTTATTCCGTTTAATAGATACGGGTGTTTATATATCTACCCTTGCTGCCGCCACCGCCAGCACAGCATGGGTAAACATACAGCTCTTTTTGTGGTGGTTTATTTATCTGCATAATGTTGTTATGTAACTGACGATGTCCAATACATGTGTCAAAATGCATTCATCTTCAGAAATACTTTTGTTCTACTCCATTTTTTAAAGTGCTCATTCTGAGTATAGATACAGGAAGACATAGGCACAATGATATCCAGACATATACAAATTGGGATGTCATTCAAACCAAACTTACCTGCAAAGCGGTTTTGGTTTTGGCGGTCTCTGTACCTTCAGCCGCTTTCAGTGCACGGTCGAAGTTGTCCACAACGCCTGCACAAGAAGGGGTTCACACACACGTGTATTGAATATCAAAGCAATCGAGTCATAGCGAAATTTATCGAGATTCATATCCTATTGAATACACCTATAAACAACCATATGCTTCTCTACGACGATAGATACATTCAACATCAAATGATTGGGGTTGAGATACGTAGAAAATTGTACAGGATTTCCTTTATCTACAAATATATATATGTATATGT